AGGGAGTGGGGCCAGATTTTTGGGGGAAGTCCTATTCAAGGGTTGGGAGAGATGTATGGGCTGGCATCATATCATCCCAGCGGAGGCAGATAGGGGTGAGGGGTTGGTTGAGGCATACTTTGGGTGGAACTGGATGCCTTACTGGAAGTAGGGGGAGGAAGCAGGTATGTCCCAAGTTGGAGCCGATAAGGACAGCTTGTGATCAGGGCAGTCCTTTTCGGTGGAGGCAACGGAGGGACAGGGGGAAATGGAGGAGAGGGGGAATAAATAATCCATAGGAACGTTCGAAATTATGATTCTCCTCTCAAGCTTATACGAATTACTTCTGGTGGGGGGATGGGTTGGTTTTAAGGGGGAGAGCTCTACTCTTCAGAGGCTTCACAAGGAGGGAGGTGATTGCCCTGAAGGGAGACGGGGCAAATTTTGGGGGATGCTCTATTCTGGGGCCGGGGGAGATGTATGGGTTAGCATCATATCCCAGCGGTGGCAGATAAGGGCAAGGGGTTGGCAAAGGCATACTTTGGGTGAGAACTGTATGCCTTTGTAGGAGTAAGGGGGGGAAATGGGTTTGTCCCAAGCTGGGGCCGATGAGGAGTGTTTGTAATCGGGGGCGGTCCTTTTTGGTGGAGGCAGCGGTCGGGCAGGGGGATGAGGGGAAAGGGGGGAATTTCTATATCCTTTGCTTGTATTTGGTTGAGACGCTTTCTGCTTCTTTCAGGAATTTTCAAAACAAGCACCCTTGTTATTCTTGGCTACACTGGAATTAGACAGTTATATTCAGGGTCCTTGGCTGTTCGATGTCAGAACGACGCTGGGCGGCACCGGGGTGATGCCCTGTGACTTGCCGAAGGTGAGGGCATGAGTCATTCAAGTTGTAGAGCGATCTGGGGATGCTATGGGGGGGCATCCTAAGGGACAGTCAAGGATGACATTGGTCGGAGCTGGAGTGAGTCGCGTTGCTCTGTAACCTAGCGGATAGGGGGCGTGAGGCCTGGATGAGTTTGTCAAAGAATAAGTCAGTTTTGGCGAGCTTTGTTATGATCTGTTGGAAATCCCTTAGATGTTAAAAAAAAAAATAAAAAAAAATCCAAGAGTGTCACAAACAAAAATGGCCGAAATCAGAAATGCAAGTTACAAAGAAAAATGCGAAGAGGTAACACCGCTTCCACACACCTCTCTCTCTCTCTCTCTCTCTCAAAGCTCCCACGATGTGGGCAGTTCATCGCCTCGCACCTACCAACAATCCTTCGCGAAGTTGTCACCCCGCTTAGCCTGAGTATGGAAGCCAGGTTCGCTCGTGTGCCACAGTCCTTCACGACCACACGTAAACCCTGCATACCCGGCACCAGCTCGTCGGATCGCCCAACTCCCTACTCACCATTTTGTTCTCTGCTCGTTAGACAATCCTCTCGACCGCGCTAACTCCCAAGTGAAGATTAGAAAGTGAATCAGTCGCGTGTGCGAGCTTTATAGCAGTCGGTAGTTTGCACGAGATAATTCCGGATTATGCTGAAGCAAGAGGTAGAGAGGAGAAGGAAGTGCCTATGGGTGCATGATGGGGCTGCGGCGTGGGGGACGTAGCCGCTCTCCTCGCATCGATCCAGTCGTGCACCTGCTGGCCAATGAGATAGACGGGAAAAAGACGTCAAGTTTCACGTGGAAAAAAAAAGAGATTAAGAAGGGAGAGGATTACAGTTACATCTGCGCTCGCCAAGAAGGAGCAAGAGGAGATTACAGTTGCAATTAGAATTTCGGCGCGACGGGGGCAGAGCGTAGAACAGGACGCAACAACGCGCGTGCAAGTAGGGAGCCTCGTGCGATTACAGCCAAAAATTACGACGCTCCCAAATTCCTAACCTATTCAAAGTCCTAACTGCAAGAAGAAATATCGCGAACCTGCGTAAGTTCAAAATTCAAGAAGAAATTAAGAAAAAGGATTCCCCGCGCGGTGATCGCGCCAAAAATTCCCCTCCCCACAATATAACAAGAAAGAAGCTATGGCAACAGTTATTTCCGCGCTCGCTAAGGCACGATCAATTACCAGCCGTCGTGGGACCAAACTCTTTCCAGAAGACGGGGGCATTCATGCAATTGGGCGGGTCCCTCCCGATTAACCCCCAACAGTCGCGCAGAAAATCGCACGTTTACGGAAAGTAGTTCCTCACACTTTGGCTTCAGTCCCTGCATGTCATCCCCTCGGCCCTGTGGTTGTCTCGGAGAGGGATGAATTTGTCCATCACATGCATGAGATGCCAGTGGGGCTGGGAATCCAACTCCCATGTTTGGATTCACTGCCCGTTGTCGGATGAAATTTGGGCATGGTGGTCCAAACTTTGGAATGACTTGTCAGGAGGGGACTTTAACTGGACAGATGACTGGATATTGTATGGTCAACTGCCTGACCCCAATCTGAAGTACTCTGAGGGGTGTGGTTATGTGGCTCTGGTCTGCAGAGGAACGATCATGCAAGTGATATGGCAGGCATGGAATGCGGCCGTTTTTAAGCAAGAGAAGATATCGCAGCAACAACAGCAACATCAAATCCGGTACAACATCAGACTCCTGGAGCGAGATCCCACTACCGATGTATGTGGTGTGTATGTGGATTAGTGTTTAAGGTTTGTGACTGTCAGGCATCGTGGATTTGGCAGGAAATCAGCGGTAGCCTGTTTTTGTGAATTAAGCCCGGGAAAAGGATGTTTTTTTTTGCTCTCCCATTGGAAGGTTTTTCTTTCGTTTTCGCTGTGGGGATCCTGTGGTGGTCCCAAACGTGCGTGAAGTCGAGACCAATTTTTTTGGGTAATGAAATCACGCATGTTTCATTCACGGCAAAGGCAAAGACGAATGACTTCATCGCTGGAAACTGATTGTGGTTTGGGAGGTGTTTGGGAGGGTTCGATCCCCTCACCTACTTGCCCTCCTTTGCCAAAGAGAATTTCTGTCAGAAGAACCGAACAGTGTGCACTGCGGCCTATTTCAAGGAAGCCTTTAATATTGTCAATGAATATGGTCCGTGTGCCCACTCACATGCAGTCGTCTTGACTGCCACAGCCATGGTCAGTGAATCATACCCTGACATCTGACACCCCGCCTGGAGCAGACACCATCTGTGAGAAGAGCACTTTCGTCCTTCGGGACATCCGTTAAAATTGGAATGATACACAGAAGATTAGCATGGCAAGAGCACTTTCTTTTCTTTTTTAGCAGTTTTTTCTTCATTTGTTTGGTCATGAAATGTTTTTTTGCGTTTATTTTCCCTATTTCACTGCTGCCACCCACCTGTCCCCCACCCGCCCCACACCGTCACACTAATCCACATACATGGCTAGTGGGATCTCGCTCCTGATCACTGCGGATTGGAGGACATGTAGAAGCCCCAGTGGTAGGGGCCGACTATGGTTCATCAAAACCTGAGCCAATAATAAACAAGTGGCATCTATTTCGCAGGAAGGCAAGATGGTTATTCCCAAATGGATGTGGTAATTCCTGTTGTGTAACGAGTCGATCAGCCAAGGGACTGGAGACCTCCCTTCATTTTATCTGTGTGACAATTTCTTTTTGGAAAGTTGTTTGTTTTGGTAGGAAAAAAGGGGACACTGGACCCGGTTTCCAGTAAGTGTAGTGTTGGTATACAGCCGAAGCTGGGTAATGGCCCCAGTCCCTTCCGGCGGGTTGAATTGTGAGGTCCCCGGCCTCTTTTCCTATGTTTTGAAATATATTTGGCATACTTTCCAAAAAAAAAAAAAAAAAAAAAGGGATGACAACTAATCTCTCTCATGAACATGGAACCATACTTTTTTTTTTTTTTTTTTTTTTTTTTTTTTTTTTTTTTTTTTTTTTTTTTTTTTTTTTTTTTTTATTCCCCTTTTTTTCATACTGGCCACTCTTACATGCATTGGATGCCTTTGGACCAGGTGCATTAGGAAGCAACATTTGTATGTGTAATGTATGGGGACCATTATGAGCTCCAGATACATGTAGAGTGCTCTGTAGTGGAGCGACGCCCAATAACAGCTCCATCCCCGTCCGACCCCTCTGGCTCGCGGAAAAAGAAGAGGAATGCATGCACGGCGTATTGGCGCATACACCGTGAAAGTTCGTGCATGCTTTGTACCAGAATTGTGACCACATTCAGCCCGAGAAACTCCTATGTCGACTGCTCCTGTACGAATGTAAACACTATCTCGGCCGCATTCAGCCCAGACAAACATTCATGGCCTCATCTGACTGAGGGCATCCTCACAGGAGCTGCTGCTTATTTCTGGAGGTGATTGCAGTAAATGCCGTCAGGTACAGGGCTAGTGTTAGTACGCCCTAGCAGCTTTGAGGCGTCTGCGATTTTTTGTGGGGCTCAGCTGAAGCATACACAGGGCCTCGCTCCACCGCTCACCACGAGTAGTGGAGCCAGACCCATACCCTACACATGGGTAGTGGGATCTGACCCTTACACTCGACAACAGGCTGCGAGGCCGCGGCCACGCGGAATGTTAGTATGCATACATATTTTCTGATATGTTTGACGATATATATCGTCAAACGGAACTGCCCGGTAAACCGTAGGCAGCAGGCTGCAGACGCATGCGATCTTCAATTGTATATTATATACATATCTATATTATATGATATGTATATATATTGTCAAACAGAGCTGCCCGGTCAACCGCAGGCAGAGAGGGAGGAGAGGACAACAAACGCGGGGCTGTGACAAACTGTTTCGTCGGAGTTTCACCGACTCATCAGGAGGCTGCACCCTCTATTATGGTCTGTTTGCAATATATTATAGTCTGTTATCATTATATTGTACGGTGTGTACAGGTACTCTCTGCGTACCGAATCTGTACCACCTAAACGCACGCAATCTGTAGTCTACAGGCCAAGCGGGCTGTACGGTTCCCCCCGTTCTTATTATGCCCTCTGACCGCTCCTACAACGTGGGAGTGACCACAGGAGGGCCATGCGACTGTGCCCCCGGCTTGCTCAGTTTGCGACCTTTTGGCAGCGTTAGGTCCTCCTTGTCAGTGTGAGGTCCGTTTTGCCAGCAGGCGGTCCTCTTTGTCAGTGTGAGGTCCGTTTTGCCAGCAGGCCACTCGCCGTCCCACGGGGCCCCCCGCGTGGTCCTACCCCTTTTCCCCTCTATCCTCTATTTCCATCTGTTTCCTCTCTATACCCTCTGGGCAGAACATGTCATTCCATCATTTGTTTGTTCTGCGGGTGAGCAGCGACCATGGCTGTGCTCCGCATGGCCATCCCGCCTCGTGCGGCCCAGGTGGCCAGTCCATCGACCGGCCGTGGCATTGGCAGTACTGTTGCTCACGAGGGTTCGATCCCCCGACGTCATCGACGGTGTGCGCTGGTGGTTGGAAAGGGTGGGCTGGCCGGCGAGATCGATGGTGTCCGCTGTAGCCTGCCGCTGTCCCACAGAGAACGTGCTCTCGAGCCGCGGGATGTGCCGCGCGGGCGGCGGGAAGAAGCGCTGCAGGGGGGCGTTCGAAGGCGCCACTTTTGTGTGTCACTGCCTTTGTCCGTCGTTTTGCGCGCCAAAGCTGTAGCAACCGCCATTTTTCCCGCACGCACAGTCACCGGCGTAATCATCAAGCTTTCCGCAACGAAAATACCGGCGGGAAGAGGAGGAGGAGCGGGAGGAGGAGGTGGATGTGGATGTGGAGGCGGAGGTGGAGGTCGACATCATCCAAAACGTGGAGCTCTTGAACTTCGCCGATCGGCGGCGGGAAACGCCATTCCTGTGCGGATCGGGTATTATTGTTGTCGTCAACTGCGAGCCCCCCCCGGCGGCCATAGACAGGCGAGAAGCAGGAGCCGCTGTGGTGGTATCGTTGGCACTGCTGCTGTTGTCGCCGGCAGCGGATCTCAGTCCTCCCGCTTCTTCCACGTTGATCCCCACGTGTACGCACGGGGTAGCGTTTTTCAATCGGGCATCAACGCGAACGCCCTAGACGCAGCGTTTTCCCCGTCTTTGCTTTCCGTTTGCTCTCGCCCCCCCTCCTCTTCAGCTGCTCGGTCTTTCATTTGTTCCTGGTCCTCCGTTTGCTCCCGGTCCTCCGTTTGTTCCTGTCCCTCCGATTGGTCCCGGTACTCCGTTTGTTCCCGGTCCTCCGTTTGTTCCTGGTCCTCCGTTTGTTCCTTTGGATCGTTCGACGCCGATTTTTCACCTCCGCAGCGGGAACTGCGGTGGTGGAATAAGGGTCGGAATCCCGACAACGAGAGCCGGAGCCGGGATCTGCCGGCGGTGGCGTCCACATCGTCGACTGGTGCTGGTGGGAGGACGAGCGGCGTGATGCCCGCCAAGGCCTTTGAGCGGGCGGCTACTCTCTTGAGGGAGCGTGACAAACTACCTTCGCTGGTCGTGGTCGACCTGGATTACACAGTATGGCCATACTGGTGGTGAGTAAATGGAGGTTATGGAGTGGATGACTTGTGTGTGGTCCTCTTCTGCCTCCTCCCCTGCGTTGTTCTCGTGTCACGGCTGAGCACTGCAAGTCTAGTGTGGATGGATTGGAGAGTGAGACCGATCTTGTAGGGAGATCGAACGAAACAGGCCATACTCCCACTACCGGTAGGACTTATTCGACTGAGCTCTGGACGTGATTGCTGTCCTGTCCGATGCAGCCAGGTGGGGTCGTCGCTATCAAATACGTTCAGGGAAGTCCTGCTGCGAGCATGCTCAGGGAAATCGCAAAATTTCTTACTTCGCATGGGTTGCATCCGCGGTGCGGTGCGCCATTCTTTTCGTCTTCTTAACGCGGGGGTCCACCCATCTGGAGTTCTTTCCCTTCTTCTCAACAGGTCCCCGACGCCTCCCGCATTGAGCACCGATCTTCCGGATGACTCACGCGATTTGAGTCGTTAATCCAACAGCTGTGCATACTCCATGTTCTTCCAGGGGCCTACCGGTAGGCTGCGTCTTTGTTCAGATGATTAGTTGTACGGATGATTAGTTGTACAGATGATTAGGTGTGCAGATGATTAGTTGTATAGATGATTTGATGCATGGTTGTACAGCTGAATACACGCAAAGTTGCACGTTGCACGATTGGAGATGATGAAGTGTACAGATGATTAGGTGTGGAGATGATTAGTTGAACGGTTGATTTGATGCATAGTTGTACAGGTGAATACACGGAAGTTGCACGTTGCACGATTGGAGATGATTAATTGTACAGATGACTAGGTGTGCAGATGATTAGGTGTGCAGATGACTAGTTGTACAGATGATTA